TCGAAAGGAGGTTCCTCGAGCCATCCCCAGAGGCAGTTACATTTGTCATCCTGTGCAGGTTACCCAGCTGGACCCAGACTTCTCCAGTCAGAACCCCAAGATCCATACCCGGAACAATAAGATTAAACATGGATTAGAAAAATGAAAGCAGTAATGAATTACCCCTTTTGTGTTTCAAAACCATATGGAATTAGTAATCTCATGGATTATGAATGGGGTGTAACCTTCACTGGTCAATGGTTGTTGCCTTTCGTTGTCCCTTATTCGTGGTTGCCTTAAATGATCCGTGAACGGTTTACAAGTTCCTTAAGAACTTGTTGGCGGCTCCCTACTTTTCTTTGTCCCTAATCGTGTCTCTAATAGTATGTCAATTCCCACTTCCTAAGAGTGTCAAGCATATTCACCACATGCTTAAGTAGGCGCGCTTCAATTCGAATGACGCCTACAACAAGGTATTACACCATTTTTTTTTATAAAACCTTATAAAAATATATCATTTATCAGAGTTATTCATATAATCTTCAAACTCATTATTTATCCTTTTTTTGGTGCCTTAAAAATATCCATATTTTTAAAATTTACCATATATTACTCCGTACTAGGAAAACAAAAAATCTAATGTTTTTTTTAATCAAATAAACTTTTATTATTATTTTATAAAAAAATAGAATTTTATTACAATTAATTTATCTTATACATATAAAATTCAATAATTAATTTTTCTCTCTTCATAAAGAGTGCTAACTATAAATCGCTATTCTAAAAATGTGCAAAGTTAGTGAATTCATTTTACGTTGTGAAAAAAAATGAAACATGCGAGGGTAGAAAAAATAAATATGTTTTTAAAATTAGATCCCAATCGGCTTGATGAATACAAAGTCGAACACAAGATTTACACTTGAATATCAATCGAACTCTCTAAAATCTCAGTAATTCCAAAAAAACTATGAGGTCGGATAAAAAAACAAAAAAAAGATGAAATTCAAGAATTTAAACGACAACTACACTAAAAATTACTATGGGATCAAAAAATTTTGATTGTATTAATTTCATATACTACCATACAAATTGATTACATAATAAACTGATAAACACCCTTCTACGAATACATGACTTATAGCAATATTTATTTGATCTTCAATTGGTCTTTAGAAGAGTTTTTTCAAGAGTTTTAGAGCACCATATAGGAAAATGGTATATTTTAACCAATGAAAAAAGAGAATTGTAATTTATTTTGGAATTTAAAGTTTTAAATTAATTATAAAAATAAAATATTATTTTTTTATATTAGTATTTTTATCTGAATATGAGAAAAGAAATAATTTATTTCATAATAAAAAAAAAAAGTCAAGTAAAAAGCAAGCGAATAAGATTACAAATTTTATTAGATAAATGTATAAAATATTTTATTTGAAATATATAAACAAATCGTGCATTGCTCGGGGGGCTTCATAGAAAACATAACAAAATTGTATAGTGTATGTTAAAAGACAATTTAACGGAGTATTAATGTTTTATTTATGATCAATTTTTTCATTCAGATTCAAATCTTTATATCTAACCCTGATAACGTTACCAATATACCAGTAGTTATTCTATGAATCATAGAGTAATTTTAATTTGAAGGTATCATTAATTAAAGGAAACAAAAGACATCAAGCTTAGATTTTATTCATTAATTTTAATTGAAAGGAATAGTGTCCTTCGAACAAGTGTATTATTTCGATAGAGGGTTCGGAATTATTAGAAAGCTAATTATTTAGTGAGGTCAAGTGATCAGAATGCCTAGCTGGAGGCCTCTTCCGATCAGTAATATTAATGCTTAATTAATATTAACGCTTAATCTTGTCTGAACCCTTCGGGTCACACCCAATCGAGTAACTGAACCAAAACGACGAATTAATCCGAAGGATTAAATGAGTCATTAGAGTATTACGAACATAGACGTCAGATTCTGAGCTTAGAGTTTTGGAAACCGAGCGTTGTAAGTCGAGTCGAATCTTGAAATCGACGAGATGAGAAATCAAGCAAACAATAGGTCATCGCACGAAAAAATCCTAGCCTCGAAGTGGACTAGCCAATCCAGGGCTAGGATAGCTAGCATAGCTAGCCAGAGCCATTGCCGCAAGGCAAGGCTCGGCCGCAAGCTCAACATGCCTAGCATGGCCGAGCATGCTTGCCGAGCCAGCCATGCGTGCAAGGCAAGGCCTGCAAGGGGCCAGCCGCACATGCTAGGCATGGCAGCAGCCAGCCGACACCATCTCCAGTAAGGCCAGCAACACATGCTAGCTAGGCCTTGCGCGCGAGGTAGCAGCGTGCTGGGCTGCACCTAACATGAGCATCGAAGCAGCAGCAACACGTAATGCATGCGTGGGTTGCGGGTTGTGCGTGCTTGCATGCTGGGCTGCGCATACGCACAGCGCTCAGCTGGCAGGCCTAGCCAAGCACCAGGTCGCCAGCGTGGCGCGCCTTGGTGCCCAAGGCTAGGTGGGCGGCTGGCGCGCGAGCATTAGCCGCGTGTGTGGGGAAGCCAGTTTATGTGGGTTTGCTTGGGGAGCAAGGGGAGGGTGGTCCCCCCTTGTGGTCCTCACCTAACCCCTTGCTCTCCACTTGACACTTGTTATTTGTTGATTTATTTGCATTTTAATTTGATTTTAGAATTAAATTAAATTGAATAAATGCCTTTTTACCAACTCTCCTACATTGATGGGAGATTGGAATTCAAGGGCTCCTTTCCCTATAAATACCAATCATTTGACATTGGGAAAGGGCACTTGAGTTGTGAACTTGAAAGGATCTCCACAACCGAGAACACTTTCGTTCTAATACTCTAAGTACTTTTTGTCTAGCCTCGACTAAGCTTCGGGGTAGGGGCCGTTCGGGCCGGGTCTCGAGGGTGAGAGTCGTTGAAGGCTTGCGCATTTGCGAAGCTCTACGCTTTCAAGTACGAGCTCTAAGAAAGAGCGAAGCACGCATCAAGGGTGTGATCGTCTTTTCTTCTTTTTCTCTCTTTGTTAATTAATTATGTGATTGTTAATTAATATGCATGTTTAGTTACTTTAATTTGTGTGCGGATTTTGGGAAGGTTTCATTCCACGTAGTGTCGGACACTGCGAAACCCAACAACGGTATCGGAGCCGCGCTCATTTAACTATTGTAACTAATAATTAATTAAGGTGATTTAAATGGATTTAAATTTCTGGTTTTGCTTTCTAATTAGATTAGAAGCTCGTTTTAATTAATTTTAATCTCGTTTTAATGCTAATTTTGGCTAAAGAACCCAGATTTCGACCCAAAAGTAGTGAATTTTGGGTGGAATCGATGTTCTAAAGCAGTTTTGACCCTCTTTGAGAATTGTACAGAAGCCAAAATCCACCCAAAAACATGTTTTTGAGGGATTTTTCGTTTTTGACGAAATGTTTTTAAATGTTTAAACCTTGATTAATTATAGCATGTTAATGATAGATTATGTGTATGGTTACATCATTAATATACTGCAATAATAACCCTTATTAAGCATGTTTATGAAATCATATTTGATGCTTAATTTGGTAAGTTCATTTTTCACATAAACTTGCAATTTCACATTTTTGCAAATTAATTGCTTCAAGTGTGACTGTTTATGGTGAATTTGTAATTTTGAAGCCCCTAAAGTGTTAAAGATCCAATTTTTAATTGTTTATTTGGTTGGAACTTTACTTTCTAGTTCCATGTTGAACTAATTTTTGATTTAATCATTTTTGAGTTGATTAAAGTCTTAAAAGTTCAAAATTGTGATTGAAATTTGATTACTCTTCATATTGGAATGATGTAATTTTTCAAGTTTACACAAAGTTAGTGTTGGAAAATTTTCGTTGAATTATTGTGTTTATTTTTCCAACTCCCTTTAATTTTATCAAATCTCATTATTAATTTATGTTTGGTTAAATTAATTGAGAGAATGGCCCTTCAATTTTTGTAGCATCAAGTTGAGCCAAAAATAATTTAAAGAATGGTTCTTGAATTAATTTTGGTTTGTGCACTAAAAAATTGAATTTTTTTAAGTTGGACTTGTTTTATTTTCATTTTACTCAAATGTTGGTTCTAAAAATAATTTAGAATTCATTTTTTTAAAGATTTCACGCATCACGTGCATACAGAGTTTGTTTTTTTTCAATTTTTTTTTTTTTGAAATAGTGCATACAGAGTTACTCCGTAGTAGATATATAACTAGGTATCCCTTCTTCAAAAAAAAAATAAAAAATAAAAAAAACTAGGTTATCCTCGTGCGATGCACAGTTAGAATGAATCTTTCTTGTAATTTATGTTCAGTTGCATTACATTATTGTATATGAAAATTAGAATTAGATATAAAATGATTTACATTTAAGGAAAGTAAGAAAATTAAAACCATGATCAAACATCAAACAAATAAGATATGTGAAACTATAGTTTAGGAGAGAAACTTGGTTCATTGAATTTTATATAGACACTTATACATTGAAGTCAAAAGTGTAGATAAAAATACAAATAATAAAATCATTAATAATTGATGACATTACACATTAAATTGGAGGGAAAATTTTAAGTGTGAGAATGACGCGTAGGATAATTTGAGAGTTAATGATGTTAACAATGTTTTGTTTTAATAATACTTCCTCCATTTCTTTATAGTTACAACACATGCTTTATCACGATATTTAAGAAAAGTGGACTTCACATGATATAATACATTTAAAATGGGCTTAAGAGGTTGTTATGAGTATAATCAAGTGGGCCATGAATTTTAAATAAAGGTAAAAGTACCATTATCACCATAAAAACCTTCTTTTTATGATGTGTTGCAACTATTGTGATATTTCCATTTAAGAAAAGTGTTGTAACTATAAAAAAATGGAAAAAGTAGATAATAAAAGTTTTAAAAAAAAATAAAAATTTGTAACTTAACGTGAAGTTAACTACCCGAACCCGAACCCGAACCGAAGGAAAGAAAACAAAACGTTAGCCAACAAGTAGCATCAATGTACGGCACGGCATTGGTGGATTACTCGCACAACAATAGGAGAGATCGAGAGAGGAAAGAGTAATAATGTTGTTTTAGACAACGAAGAGGAATATGCTGGAGACTCCTCTTCCGAAGATTCTCACTCCCACGCGCATCTCCTCTCCTGTGATCCGCATCTACTCTACAATTTAACCACCATTTTTTTCAATTTTTATTTTTATTATCATAACTTTATTTTTAATTTAATCAACTTTACTTTTTCATTCTAGCTTTTTCCCAAGTTTCTGGGTTTCTGGATTTACCTTCTTTTACTCAGGTATAATTTCTCTTTCTTGATTTTATTGGGATTAATTAGCATTGCATTTTAAAGTAAAATTAATTTTGAACTTGGTTGATCTTGTTTTCTTCTTACTAACCTCTAATTTGTTCTGGGTACTTGAAATTATTGTGGGTTCATCATATCATCTGATTACTTGTTTTTCTTTTGCATTATTTTTTTGAAGGCAATAATTATGTGAACTTTTGTTATGATTGATGAATTATAACAAAAGGGTATTTTTTGATGACGTAGGAGTAGTAATTTAGTAATTTAGTTTATGATTGTAGTTAGCTATGATTTATGATTAATGACTTCTTTGTTGACATTTATTCAAGCTTGGCTCCGAAATGAGAAAGCAAATGAATGAATGTATAATATGTAAATGAAAATTATTGTTATTTATAGGAGTCTTATATATCCTGAAAGTTATTTAATCTGAAAAAGATTGACTGTTAGCTTGAATTTGTAATTGAGGTAGTGTGAAATGGGATTTGTTTGTCAATATAACTGTTTGAAGGTTTGAGACTGGTTTCCAATCGGTAATTAAGTTAAGTTAAAGCTGTCTGATTTACCCTGGAATACTAAAATCTACTATAATTCTTTAGCAATTAAATTTTCATCCTCTCCCCATTGATTAGACAAAGTAGGAATATGATTCAAATGCGGCCTGAAATTATTGTTGATAGAATATTATCAATAGTTTTTTTGTGAAGTGTAAAATTCGAATATAATATTGACAACTAGGAGACACAAATTAAAGCTCAATGTAAAGCACGTTTTGTGTTAACAACATTATAGTATACAAATTTATCACCCTCTAAGGTGAAAGTTGCACGCTATTAAATATAGGAATAAATATATTAGTTATTGGTATCTCTTTGACTCTTATGGTCGTCGAAGGCATATGTTGTAGCTATTTGTGAAAGTGAACTGCTGTGGACAAACATGTCTTACAATTCCTTCATGATTGAGCACTTCTCTTATACTTTATATTCTTCTTGCATGTTTTCTTCTTTTATACGAGGAATTTGTGATGTTTCCATAATGTGTTATTAACAAAAAAATCCAGTTTGAAGCTCTGCCTCACGGCTGACAACACAAGTTTCCTGGCAGCAACAAGTCTTTTGACTGCTACCTGCAAGTTATTGTGGGTAGGCAGTACATGTTTATAATTAAATAGGAGATGGTTCCCCAGAGTGCATTGAATTCAAGTCGAGCATTAGAAGGTGTGCATGGAGTGCAGGTGGTGCCACATGCTCCATTTGTTGTTGAAGAGGTCACTCAACTCGGGGACCAAAGGCCAACTTGTAAAGATTCAAATACAAGAATTAGTCGACATGTATTAATGCAGTGAGTGAAAATAAAATAAAATTCCTTTGTTATATTTTCAAAATATTATCATATTTGCTTCGTCTATTGATAGCATCTTGGGAAGCTTGATACCAGTTGGTCATAATTATTCCAACAACTTGAACCAATATTAATAACCTAATTGCTTGTTTGGACATCATCAGACGCGTGCAGGAGCAAATAGCCATACGTTTAAGACCTGTCCAATGCTGCCATACCGGTATTTTGGAATTCCGATCATTGCATTTATTTGCTAGATTAGTGTGCAATGTATATTGTTGAAGGCTACTGGGGATATTCATGGCTATCCTATTTACCTGTAGGTGATCAAAATATTGCTGAAACAGTTGCTAATGTTGTAACATCTCTTCCATTTATTGCTCTTGGAGCCCATGCACCTAGGTCATACCTTTCTTCTTTTCATGGTATCTTTTGTCCGAAACCATGTGGCTGTGCCTTATCCTATTTGTATATTGTGGTGCAGGAAAAGTTACAATTCCAAGCTCTATGCTAATTCTCTGATTGGAGTTGGAGTTGCCTCTAGCATGTATCATTGTTCCAGGGGCAGGATTAGGAAGTTCCTGAGATGGGTTGATTATACCATGATAGCAACTGCAACTGTGGTAAGATTGATATGAATTACTTGTTGATTCAAATTACTTGCACTTGCTTTTACTATAAAATTAGCTTTTCAGTTACTTAGAGGCCAAGTACAGTGTGAACATATATAAATCCACTGATCCCCCCCCCCCCTCCTCTTCCTTTCTAGCTGATTCAAATCATTTTTAACCCAAACTATCATTCAAATCATTTGTGATAGTCCTCTCTATGAACAATCACAAATCAATCATTCATCACAATTCATCACAAATCAATAGTTTATGATTTGTGATTCAAATCATTTGTGATAGTCCTCTCTATAAACTATCACAAATGCAATAGGAAAAAAAATAAAAAGGGAGTTACAATAACAGAATTGTTAAACTGTAATTACTAGCTTTCTCAGTTCCTATCAGACTGTTTGCTTCTGTATGTATGAACGTTATAACCTGACACACTCAAATTGTGAAAGAACATCTCTGCTATGAAGCAGGTTAAGATATCAATTATGATGCATTTTGATGCTCTCAAGACACATGATTACATGAAATTATTATACTACTGCTAGTGGCTAGAGGCCAAAGGTTATGCTATCACTCTTGTCAGGCTAGATTTTCTTATAGCAGCCAAGAAGAATTATTACCCACCATTTGACAAACATGTTGGCAAAGGATCATCAGCTATAAATATGATTTCTAGTTGTGCTTTGTTGTCCACTGTCCATATTCCTAATGGGTGGAGAATTCTTGCAGTGTCTTTCGAGAGCACTTAGGAGTGAACATCCTAAACTTCTGATGGCTGCTTCTGCTGTGTGTCTACCATTCCAACCACTCATGGTTTCACTTGTTCATACTGGTTTGATGGAGGTAGTTTCCCACTTTGATATCTCTGCTAAATGTGTTTGGATGAATTTGGATTCCTGTGCTTTATTGACTTATAACATTATATTAGGCTAATTTTGAAGAGGAAAAAAAAAAAAAGGTTGTTTCATAATAGAAGGGACTCATATCTTTCAAGTTAGAGTTTTGACCATGACGTATAATATTGCTTGATTATCAATATGTTAGAGATATCAATAATCACAATATGCACATGGATTCTTTATATTATGGAATAATAGGATCATTGATCAATAGGTAACCTCTGTTTTTTGAAAAGTTCTTAGCAAGAGAAAGGTAGAAAACAATCTTGACTTTCCTACTATTTTATTTCTTTGATTCATTAATGACTTCATGTAAATATTTGTGTTCTATCAAGGGTAGCTGCCTTTTTATTTCTAAATTGTTACGTAGTATTTTTAATAGATTCTCTCTCTCTCTCTCTTTTTTTTTTTTCCTCTTTTTTCTACCTTTGTTGCCGTTGTACTGAATTTGAGCTTCTCTGTTTCCAGGTGGCATTTGCCCAAAGGGCATTCAAAGATCCAGAACTAAAACTGGCACACAATGTCCACAAGGCATGTTCATTGTTGGGTGGTGTGTTATTTGTTGCTGATGATGTTTTCCCAGAAACTCCGTACCTTCATGCGGCTTGGCATCTTGCTGCAGCTGTTGGAGTTGGCACCTGCAATAGGCTTCTTGAGTAACATGGACTTTGGCTAATCTATTGGTAAAACTATAGAGGGTAAAAAGAAAACTAGGAATATTGTATAAAATTATTGAGCTATCCTGAGCAATTGGATTATCTGAAGTGATTAAGGCTGTTATGTATCACAGCAAATTAGGGGGAAAATTTGTATATATTTAAGAATGTAGACTGTAGTATTTATCAGAAGGGGAGTTTTTACGGACCGAGAGGGTGGAACAGGGGGTTGATGAAGGTGGAAAGAAAATGTAGTATGTAACGGCAACTATTGTTGCCTTAGGGACTGAGTCTTGCATTCTTTGGAACTTGTAAACTACAAGTATTATGTTCGTTATGGTACTCAAGACCAATCAATACTTTTTAATGCATAGGATTGGAATTTCTCATAGAATAAATTCCATTATGAAATTGATACAAGGCACATTAGATACATTTTGTCTGAGCAAGCGTCTCTCTGTTGGTCGGCTAAATTGATAAGCACTAGAAACTGTGTCATGACTGTTATCATCCACAATTCTGCATTGCATAAGCACGAAAATTATGGACTAATGACAGTAGTGTACCTCTTTTCGGTAAATTTGCCTTTTCCTCCGAAAGACTTTAGTTGCCGACATAAATTTGGAAGTTTCTTCCAGTACGTTACTTCTTCCTTTAATCTTTATGGTACTGAAGAAAGTGAATACTACTCCGGACATAACATTAGAAGAAACATCCTATGTCAGAGCTACAAACTGAATATTTTGCTGGATTTAAAGTGAATCTTTTTGTCAAACTTTTAAGGCACTTTGTTAATTGCTCCTATATCCAACACTTAATTATTTACGCTGAGCATTTAAAAAATTCATGAAATGTCATCGTGTTTTCCAGAATTCACCAAATGTTACTGACAAACAGTAAAATGTCATGCCATGCCATTAATGAGGTATTTCCGTTAGTTGACCGTCAGTGCCCGTTAATTGACCTCACCACTTGCCACATGTCACCTTCTGATTGGTCCGTTTTTAAAAATAAAAATAATTAAACAAAAAAAAAAACCAAAATATTTAAAAAAAATAAAAAAAATTAACAAAAAGAAAACAATAAAATTTTTTTTAAAAAAAACAAAAAAAAAATTTAAAAAAAAAAGGAACTTAGAGGTGGTAACCACCACCTCCTCCCTGCCGTCGAGCCCCCTGCCCACCCCAAAACCCTAGCCGCTGCCACCCTCTGCCGCCGGGGCTAGCACCGAGAGGCGCGCCGGCGACCTCTCCTCTTCCCCCCCTATCCCGTCACGACCCCCTAACCTGCGAAACCCCACACCCATACCTCCACCACCCCCCTTCCTCTTCCTCTCCGTTTTCCGGCCACCCTACCCAAAACCCATCCCTTTTCGAAAACTTGGTGCAGGCTGACCTTGGTGTGGCATAATGTCCATCAAAGTCTGTAGATGCCTCATTCAAGAACATTACTTCTGGATGAATTTCAATTGACGTAAACAGTAATAGATCCCAAGGCTTATCCTTGAATATCTACAGAAATCTCAAATTATCTTGTTGCATCTACCTTGCTTCTTTACAGAAACCAAAACTTCCTGTAAACAAGTCAAATGTCGGAAATCAGAGAGGGAGAGGAAGGGGGTGGGGGTGGGGTGGGGTTTCGGGGTCGTGGAGGAAGGGGGTGGGGTTTCGAAGGTTAGGGGGTCGCGACAGGATAGGGGAGGGGTCGCCGGCGGCCTGCGTGCCGGTGCTAGCCCCGGCGGCTGGGGGTGGTGGCGGCTAGGGTTTTGGGGTGGGCAGGGGGTTCGACGACAGGGAGGAGGTGGTGGCTGCCACCTCTAAGTTCCCTTTTTATTTTTTTTTATTTTTTTGATGTTTTTTTTTGTTTAATTATTTTTATTTTTAAAAACGGACCAATCAGAAAGTGACAAGTGACAAGTGATGGGGTCAACTAACGGGCACTGACGGTCAACTAACGAAAATACCTCGTTAATGACATGGCATGACATTTTACGGTTTGTCAGTGGCATTTGGTGAATTCTGGAAAACACGATGGCATTTCATGAATTTTTTAAGTGCTCAGTGACATTTTATGAAATTGCCGTATTTACTATTTTACACCAATATGAACTGTTTGAACAAGGAATTTCAAACGAGGAATAAAAATGGATACAGAAAAGACGGTCAATTAGTTGCCACTGCAATGTGGAAGTACATATTCTAACATACAAATTTTTTAAAAAAAGTTTTTTTATAATCAAAATGATGGTGCAACTCAAACTATGAAGTAAAACTTGCAAATGCGCCAAACAGTAGACAGAACAGGCCAGTGGATGTGCTAGATCAGGAAACATATATGGGCTCTGGCTCCTGCTTTCTTCTGATCCTGCAAGCACGGGAGGGGATGGAATACAATTAGAATCGAAATATGGAAACTCAAACAATTGGACTTTAAACTTTCCGAACAACCTGTCGGATGGACATTGCCAACAGCATAGTTATACAAAATAATACTCCGCAACATTACAGATCATTCATATACTGCAACTGACTATCAGTAACGTCAAATTTTAGTCAATATCAATCATTGGTTTTTAATTGTCAGATAAAAAAAAAAGAAAAAAAGCTGTAATAATCATTGTCCCCTCGCCCACTTAAAATAGAAAGCATTCACTATCTTTCCTAAACTGGCGCCAAGGGAAAAAAAAAAAAAAAAATCCAATTATTGCATCACTAGAAAGAAGATACAAATTCTGCACATTGTGTGCTCGACTGTTTTGAATAGCTAATGGGAAGTTAAACCGTCTCTATATAAATGGTGTGGTGGGATTCGTATGGAAATGGAGAAAGTGAAAGTGAGGGATACATCTTTCCCTTGTTTCGTTATGACTTGAATAGGCAAAAGAAGAAAATTTGAGGATTTATTTTACTTCCCTGATTGCAACACCTTTAATATACACGTGGTTGCACCTACCTCTATGTGCACCTAAATGTAGTTTTTTTTTGCTTATTTTATTATTTTAAAATGAGCAAAAATAAATAAATGAGCAGAAAATACCCTAGGTGCACTTTGTACCCGGGTGTATATAAATTTATTTTCCCTATTTGATAAATTAAAGCCTTTCAATGTAGGAAAGATTTAGAAAGCATAGACAAGCTCATTCCTCTCATGACCTCCCTTTCTTTTCTCTCTCCTTCCCTTCCCTTCCCTCCACTCCCTTTCCTTCCAAAAAAGCTATCCAAACATAGTGTAAGCAAATATGTTGCAACACACCTTTTTTGGCACGCTACGTGAGAAAGTGATCAGAAACGGTAAAGGAATGGATTAGGCTATAAAATTAAAACCGTAGCAACTTAACACTTTGTTTTCATCGGTGCTAAAATTATTTCAAATAATTTAACTGTTTACCTAGTCTAAAATCTTCGAAGTGTGTGTCAAAGTGGTGTGTTGCAAGTATATATAGAAATGAAGGAAATATAACAATATTTCCTTTTATATTCTCCAAGGGTAAATTAGAACCTTATCAAAAACATTAGGCATCACTGATCATACAGTGGAAAAAAGTGAGCAAACATTGCCATGTAGATAATAATAAAATAAATAAAAAGATTTTAGAATGCAGAAAATATCCAGACACTCACCAATTATCTCCAGCCCACTTGCAACCATCAGTGTCCACCACATGCAAACTATAAGCATGCCTTGAACTCGGTGACTGGTTCTCAAAACTACAGTGAGCATATCCAAAAATAAGAGAACACACATTGTACATTTATTGAGTGTTAAATAGAAGTCATGAGAGTTGACTAACCTCTGATGAATAAGATCACCATGAATGACAACCAAGGAACCAGCTTTAACTTCAATTGGAACAAAATCATTCTGGTCGTATGATGGAGATGGGCAGTCAAAATGTACCCCTTCGTCATCTCTAATGAATCTTCTCACAAGGCCCTCTGAAAATTTAGTTTAAGAAATTAAAATAATGATTTGCATGGAATTTTAGACCACATATTATATCAGAAGGTCATGTACTTTTTTGAGAACCAGGGATTGCCCACAGGCAGCCATTGATCACTGTGGCATCTTCTAGTGCAAGCCACAATCCTGTACACGTTGGTGGATCTGTATAAAGAAATGAATTATCTTGGTGTGGCACCACTTCTCCACCAATACCTGGTTGCTGAAAATGGAAATCTTACAATCAGCTAATACTTCACTATTAGATGCCTAATTTTAGTTTTATCCCTTCTTGCATCGGTATAACCTATACTAAGCAGAGAAGCAGACATTCAGTTGAAAATGAAGCTACCCTTAACCAAGATTATTTTTCATTTAACCCCTCTTCTGACAGTCATATGCTTCGTACATAAAGAGCATCTTTTAGCATACATGTTTACAGGACATTCATCTGAGTCAACTAACCAAGGCTATGCAATTATCCAATTACATGATTGATTTTGTTGGTATTGATTATTATGCCTACTAAGAGCCTTTTATAGAAAGCCTGAGGTACGTAATGGTAGCTTCATATGTAGTATTTTCCAAATAGTATGATATGCATTAGATAAAGGAATGTCCATGGATCACCAATAATTTATCTTTAAGTGAAATCTAATTCTAAAACTTTCGTAATGGAACATAGGATCAAGTATAGGTTCTTTTTAATTTCACAATTTGCTTTGACGACTTTTCAGGTCAGTTGTCCTTGCTGGGGAGATGGCTACCATGGCTCACTAGAACGCGCTCAAATTCTAGGGAGTAAGAAGCAACCTCTCACCTCAAATATGCATGCATCTATGAAGAATCTGATATAACACAAAACTACTAATCTAAATCATCAATACAGGTCTTTGTATCAACTTGCAGGAATAATTTCCAAGAAATTGACTCGGTTCTGCCTTTTCTATTTCATGTCTTTGCCTCATTTGAGCCAGGGAGTGATCCTGATTCTGAGGGATGCAACAGCATTCCCTTGCCACATTGGTATAACAGATGTCAATGGAAACATATGCTTAACTTTTGAATAAAACATCCACCAGTATGATTGAGTTTGTTTCTAATTTCAATTTTTTCCATTGTTGACTTTATGAGTTGATATTCTTTTATCAGTTTTTGCAAGGAAAAACCAGAAAGTGAGTGTAGCAATATGGGATAAATGTAGCTATACCTTGAAAATGTACATAGACTGAACAACTGCCGGCCTTTTGTAACCTAAACTTGAGAGCAAGCTTGAGAAACTCTTTGAGGAGGAGAACTCTCTGAAAACTGGATCCAGCTCATGTAGAGCTGCAGTGGCAATTTAACAAGTACTCAAATGTCAAAATGTATTACGTACTAATACAAAATCTTTATACAAGGTAAATAAACTGCAACCTTTACAACCATCCTTATCGAAAGAGGTCAGAGGCAACTACATAGACCAAAGAAAC